TTCGTTGGAGGTATTTGGCTGTGGCTCCTTTCCTTGTGACCTCATCGAGGTTGCCATTTGCTTTTGGTATTCCCAGGTACTTGTAGCTGTTTATAACAGTATTTTTATATTTGTACATGTTTTTCAGTTTATTTATAGACTGTCCTTTGAAGTTCAGTCAAAGGAAGTTAGGAAGTTCATGTTTAATATCTTATTTCATGAAACAAGATAAATTAAAAATGGTGCAAAGGTAAAGACAGATTTTTTTTTTGCTTTATTGTAATCTGTACTTTAAATAAATCTTACTTTATTATAAAACAGATTGATTTATTGCTTTTGTTTGTTGAAAATAACTTGAAGACATTAAATAATCTCCTATAAAATCACAGTTAATAGATAAAAATTGCAATTTGATTATTTTCCTAAATTGTTCAGCCCTAGTTCAGGGGTGGGCAATCCTCATCCTTGAGGGCAACTTTCCTGCAGGTATTATTTGTTTTTCTGCTCCAGCACATCTGATTCAATGACTGAATGACCTTTTCAAGTCCTGCAGAATCTTGGTAATCACTCATTCAGTTATAACAGGTAGGAGCAGAGAAACCTCTAAAACCTGCAGGATAATGGCCCTTGAGGATCAGGACTAAACACCCCTGAGCTAGACCAAACGTCACGACGTCATCATCAGTTTCACATCACATAACCATGTGACTTAGAGGAAATTTTAGTGTGAGTCTAGACAATGGCAGCTAGCTGTAGGGGATTCTAGGGTTCATGTCCAACAGGAATATTGTAGTATTCCTTCTGAAATAATAGTCTAATAATCAGATTGATCTTCTTTATTCTTCTCAATCTGGAAAACTCTTTTTGCAGCCAAAACAAATATATTTAGGCAAAAAACAAAAACAGAACAAGAAAACAGCAGAATGAAAGTATGCAAATCAAGACTTAGTACAACAAATTGTCAGTCTTACGAAAAAGCTGAGAAGTGTGTAAAATAAATTTTTATTATTTAAACTAAACAATCTGATTTGTGAAATTTTCATGAAACATTGATTATCTAAATAATATGGTCTGCTACAAAGTTCAGTGGTGGGCAGCGCTAATCCAACAATTAGCTCCGCAATATCTAATGCACTTATAAAAATATTTAGGTCCGCAACTCCAAAATGCTTATGTCGTAGAAAAATTAGCAGAAGCTAATTCTAAAGCACAAGTTCAATTTGACACTTATTAGCTGGCAACAACTGTACAATATATGCACAACACTGCCTACTAGTGGTGTATGAACGTTTGTACGGCGTCGATTGCTGGGGATGTGATTTCCTGAAACAGAACTTTAGCTCCTGGTGTAAAAATTAAAAAGTTGTTGAGGATTACTAGTTCGGCTGATTCTTTGTCTTTTTCTTTTGTTTGTAGTAGATTTTTCCTTAAAGAAGCATCAATAAAGTAGTTTTAAAACTGTTTATTGGAAAACTGGTGGCACGGTGGCTCAGTTGGTAGAGCTGATGCCTCTCAGCAAGAAGGTCACAGGTTCAAATCCCGGTCCGGGGACCTTTCTGGGTAGAGTTTGGATGTTCTCTCCGGGTGCTCCAGCTTCCTCCCACAGACCAAAAACTTGACTGTTAGGTTAATTGATAACTCTAAATTGTCCCTAGGTGTGAGTGAGAGAATGAATGGTTGTTTGTCTCTATGTGTGTCTCTGTGATGGACTTGCGACCTGTCCAGGGTGTACCCCGCCCCTCGCACTGTGACTGCTGGATATGGGCACCAGTGACCCATGCAACCCTGAAAGGAAGACGTGTGCAGAAAATGGATGGATGGATGGATTATTGGAAAACTGAAGCGGTACATGACGGATTTGATTTGTGACGGGAAACAAAAGCACAGTTGCTCCAGTTGACCGCTAGATGTCAGTCTTCACCAGCATGACATCTTCAAATCATTTCTGAGTCTCTAAGCCCGTTGCTTTGACCAGTTACGTCAAGTATTGAGCTCCAGCAATTAAACGTTATTTTTTTTTTAAAAAAAGGATCTCAGATTATAAAGTAAAATAAATCAATACATACAGAATTTTAGTATGGATTACAAACTTTTACTGTTTATGAAAGGAAAGAGTTCTAAACATTGCCTTCCTGCTACGTAAGCAGACACAAAGCATTGTGGGAAATGAGAACCGTGACCCAAAGCAACAGTCAGCAGGATGTATACGTTTCCAATAAGTGTGGTTATTTGGGAGGGGTGCTGTTGTATAGATCACATGTGTTGTGATTAATTGACAGACATACCTTTGGCTGTTCAAGATAATGATAACTAATAGATAATTAATTATTAGCAGTACTGCATTTTAATTTTAGAAAGCACAAATCTGCTTATGAATTATAAAAATTAGTAAGACCGTTAAAGCGCAAATTAAATATTTAGGTCCGCAATTAGCGGATTTGCACTTTAGCGGACTGGTGCCAACCACTGACAGAATTTAAGGTACTGGAAGACTTAAAGTCTATTTTTTTAATTGAGGTCATTCAAGGAGCTTTGTATCTGCAATAGGTAGGATATCATACATTTTACACAAAGTCACTTCTTATCGACAAAACAATTTCTTTAAAAGCACAGATTCTTCTGTCTCTGTCGGTCTTTCTCTGGCTAACTTTCATTCATTCCTGCTTTTCTTTCTTTCTCTCTCATTTAAGACAATTTGTTCTCTGTTTTAGAAAGGGAACAAGTTTTGGAACAACCTGGAATGTCCGGACTCTGTCCTTTTCCCGTGGGATCCTAAGTCTACATACATCCGTTTACCACCGTTCTTCAGCAAACTGGTGAATCCTGAGCTTTGTTGTGACACTTGTTTGGCTTCACAATGTTTTCCTTTTTTTTTAACCTGGTTGTTGTCAACAATCATTCTTCTTTTTTTCCCAAATGCTTTCCTCTCAGAGTAAAGACATCCCCGCTCCTCAGTCTATCGAAAATGCTCACGCCTTACTCTTTCTGGGGGACAAAGTGACCACAGACCATATCTCACCAGCAGGCAGCATTGCTAGAATCAGTGCCGCTGCCAAGTACCTACAGAGCAAACGGTCAGATTCAAACTTCAGATTAATTACTCACCAAATAATCTTTGGTAAACGATAAACCTGCAAGGCTTTACTGGTATTTTAAATGTAAAAGTTTATTTTTTTAAGGCAGGTGATCAATTATTTTGGAATATTTCACAGGCTTACACCGCGGGAGTTTAACTCGTATGGGGCTCGCAGAGGGAATGATGCAGTGATGACCAGAGGAACGTTTGCCAGCATCAAACTGCAGAACAGATTCATTGGCAGATCAGGCCCGAAGACTTTGCACATTCCTTCAGGCCAGACTGTGAGTAGAAACCTCAGTCTGATTAGTTCGATCCAGCAGTGTTTGTGTGAAGTTGGAGCTACACCTTTTTACCTGGGGTACTGATTCTGCACATGCTAGTAGTGACCCGTATCAAACAAGTAAACCTTTGAGCCTCCATGTTTTTAACTTCTTACCCCTAATTAACCCCAGATTTATACTACATGTGTCTCCGCTGCGCTGCGGTGCGCAGGTCGCAGCTGTTAGTTTGTGTGTCAATTTATACAGCGTCCGCATTCATTCATTCATTTCATTTATCATGTAAATGGCACTGCGTATAATACACAATAACATTAACATAAATGGATAACACAATAAAGCATAAAGCTTATTTCCATGGTGGTCCAATATGCAGGAAGGAGAGAGCGCAATAAATTCAGTGATAAGTGTGTAAGTCAGAGCAAAAAATAATTAATTCTGTGAAAGACCAACTCCAAACACATCTGAAAACATTGATATAAAGGCTTTTGATATCTAAGGCTACGTTCACACTGCAGGCAAATCCGATCCAAATCTGATTTTTTTTTTGACCCATCTGACTCATATCCGATTTTCTTACGACAGTCTGAACGAGACCAGTCCGATTTTTTCAAATCTGACCCAGGCCGTTTCAGTATGTGGTTTTAAATCAGATATATATCTGATGTTTTCAAAGTGACTGCAGTGTGAACGCTCATGTCACATTCATCWGACTTTTTCATCAGGAGGAGGGGSTGAAGGATCGATAAGACACTAACCTCAAGTCTCGCTGTTTAAATCTGCAGCTCCGTGTGTTTACAGCTCCAAAACACAAGTCCAGTTGCTTCATCTTTTTACTTTTCATTTTCCACGTAGATAGTTTGATAATAATGATGTCCAGCCTGGGTCGCGGAGAGTATCGATCCTAAAGTTCGATACTCGGACGATACTTTATTTCCAGCTCGTAGTTTCGTTAAAAAAAAGCTTCACTGGAGCATCCCGGTCAGAGGCAGGTTCAGATATAAACACTGAACTAAAGAAGCAGGTCAGATAATTATTTAATCGGCTCTGATAAAACAACAACTTCTGATTCGATGTGCAAAATGTAGCATCCATGCTAGCTCTGTAAACAAACCAGCCGGCTGATGAGACGTCACGTCTTTTACTGCGCATGCAGTACACTGCAGTGCTGTGTAGCGTTCACACAGGAGTCTGATGCAGGTCACATTTAAAATGTAATGTGAACGTTCACACAAAAAGATCGGATTTTTTCAAAAAATCGGAACTGAGCATTAAGACCTGCAGTGTGAACGTAGCCATTGTTGAAACTGTCTTGCTGTTGCATGTAGTGTAACCCTTAATTTACACTACTTGCGCTCTGGCTCCGGTCCGACCTCCGCAGCAAACACACACCCATTATAATCAATGAGAGTGTTTACACTGGCTGCAGGGCGGTGGTGAGCGGACGGTAATCCATCAAAATTAGAACAGATCCTATTTTTGCCGGACGACGGAGCTGCGCCGGAGTCAATTTTTAAAGATTACGTCACACCAACAGGAAAAGAAATGAACATAACATCCGTATTTTCAAAATAAGACACTATTAGGTTGGATAATTTGTCGGAATAATGTCGAAATTGCAGCTATATTAATAAATATACGGATATTTTTTCTACACAAATGCTGTCAGAATGTATGGTTCTGTTTGGGAAGCAGATAGAAACATGTAGCATGAAGCTATGTGTACACACACGATACACGTAGGTTTTATTTTGAAATCAAAAGTTTCAGCAAGCTGACAGCGAGACAGTTTCAATAGAGATACCAAAATCCTTTATATCGTTGTTTTCAGCTGTGTTTGGAGTTCGTCTTTCACAGATTTAATTATTTTTTGCTGTTACCACTGAATTTATTGCGCTATCTCCTTCCTGCACGTCTGTTGGACCGGAGTGGAGCAGATGCTGTATAAACTGAGACACAAACGAACAGCTGCGACCTGCGCTGCGCAGCGCTGCGGAGCAGAGACGCGTGTAGTATAAATCCGGGGTTAGTCTGCTGCAAGTTTCGACCAGATTTGATGTTTTCAGAGTCTTTCCTGACCTGCTGCTTGCTCTTTTTCTGTTCGTCCGTCCAGCTGGACGTGTTTGAGGTGGCTGATCGCTATCAGAGAGACGGTGTTCCCCTCATCATCCTCGCCGGTAAAGACTATGGTTCTGGAAACTCCCGGGATTGGGTGGCAAAAGGACCATACCTGCTGGTAAACTACAGCACAAACATCTCCCTCTGACCACAGGAACATTTCCTGCAGTTTCATTCCACTAAAACCACTTTTTCTTTTCTTAGTTTTAAGTCACAAGCTGAGTTTCCACTGCAAATGTGCGCAAAACTTTGTTGATATTCTGTTAATGTTGAAAAAACACAGTTTCACAACTGCAGTGTTTCCATTAAGTAAGAAATGTTATTAAAGTCGATTGAATACATTTGTTCTCATGATAAGTCATTACAAACATGGCGGCGATGGATGTAAACACATAGCATGTTGCTACCACGACACTAGCGCTCATCATCAGAGGAGACGTCGGCGTCTTTTATCGAGGCTACGTATGCTGTGTTTTTGGGAAATTGTAGTCGCTGAGTTTACTATTTTATACTACTTCTGTGATATTACTACTACTTCTACTTCCTGTTATCTTCTTCATCATCGTCTTTTTCACCAGTAGAAACAGACGGTTGTTGATCACGTGACTCCTGTGATGTGAAAAAAGTGTTTCCATTGTAGTTTTGTGAAAAACACCCATTTCGAGATGACGAATAATCAACTCATCCTAGAGCAAAAACATTTAGTTGAAAAACATTATTTTCTTTCTAAACTGACGTGTTTCCATTGAGCAAAATTTGTTTTCAAAATTCTAATTTGCACATTTTCATGGTGAATGGAAACACAGCTAGTGAGACACCACCTTCATTAGTTCTGATCATTTTCCAAATTGGTGGACACTTTTCAGGAGACTTTTCATGAGACAAAGCTTTGTC